TTTATGAGTATGTTACAGACTACAGTATCTCTGAAAATAGGATGGTGGTTAAAGAGATTAACGGTCCTATAGAATTCTAATAATGATTTGCAAATCTGTTTGTTTTATAGGAGTACTTTACTGGAAATATGCATATTTGATAGTTGTCATTACAAACTTCTATTTTTTTATAGGAATATCTGTTGTCACTATATTTGTTGAAACATTTGTTCTTAACTTTCATGTAGTAAAATCTCCATTATTTGATCTGGCTCAGAGTAGTAAATAGTCTGGGTAGTCAGTAACTAGAGTCGTCCTATATGTCAATTTGCAAGTCATAAAAGTCTTCTATAGGCCAGATACTGTGCTTTATTTTTTTATTTTTTTATTTTTTTTTGTCTTTTTTTTTGTCTTTTTCCGTGTCCAGCAACGAATCGCAACTCTCAGTGTTGCCCCCGTACCGGACCGGGGACCGGCAACGGGATTGCAACCCTCGGTGTCGCTCCCACGCCTCGCTCAACCAGTGAGCGGGAACCGGTCTGCATGTGGGATCTGAACCCTCGGGTGGGAGCGCCACCGCGCTTCCCAAGCGGCGCACTTATCCAGTGCGCCACAGGGCCGGCCCGAGATACTGTGCTTTAAATTAGGGGTACTAAAATCACTAAGATATAGTCCCTCCCCTTACAGTATTTATATTGCATACATGGTTTATCCTTTCCTAAGTATTAAGGTTATATATGCTGTGAAAAATTGAATGTTTTTAATGACTCAGAAGGAATTTTAGAATCTTTTTAATCTCTCTTGATCATCAATATTAGTATTAGTTTTCATTATATGGTAGATTAACAAAAACGCTAATTAATTAAGAGTTATGACTAATGGAATTTGAACAAAAATTTTGCTATATTCAGCAGAAATTCTATAAGGAAATATAAATCATCTACTTTCTTTTTATTTGAAGATTTTTTTTTCACTAGAGTCCTATTTGTCAAAAATGTTTGATAATATGAAATTTAATAATTTTGAGTTATGTAAAGAGTTTTCTGAGATTAAAATACTATAGAAATAATAAATGTTCTATTTGTCCCAATTAGACATATTCTGAATTTATGGTAGTCTTTTGAAATTTAATAATTTTGAGTTATGTAAAGAGTTTTCTGAGATTAAAATATTATAGAAATAATAAATGTTCTATTTGTCCCAATTAGACATATTCTGAATTTATGGTAGTCTTGGTCAACCTTTGCTGACCTTACTAAATAGACAACTGCTATGGTCTGAATGCTTGTCCCCTCCAAAGCTCACGTGGAAGCTTGACCCCAATGTGGCAGTGTTGAGAGGTGGGGCCTTTGGGAGGAAATTGGATTGTGAGAGCTATGCCCTCATAAACGGATTAATGGATTAGTAGGTTAATGAATGAGGGGGTTATCACAAGAGTCACTGGTGGCTTTACGAGGAGAGGAAATGAGCAAGTTAACATGTGTGTTTGCCATTCTCACTAGCTGATACCCTGCACCATGTAGGGACACTACAGAGATTCCCCACAAAGAAGAAGGCCCTCACTAGATGAACCCCCTTGACCTTGGGCTTCTCAGCTTCCAGAACCATAAGAAACAAACGAAATTCCTTAACATGAGGGTACTACAAAAAGTTTATGGAAAGATTCATATTATCTTTCAATTCTATTTTTCATGAATTTTTTGAAGTATGTTTGTGAACTACCCAGTTTCGGATATTATGTGACAGAAATGCACTAATGCAATAGCTTACCCAAGGAAAAAGTGATCTTTTCTGATGAGATATTCCACACTTTATTTCTGGGGGCTGGAGACAGAGCCATACACCAAATGGTCAGGTTGTTTGTTTGGGCTGGTTTATTACTACCCACCCTTGTCAAAACGGACCTCAGTTCCAAAAATCCACCTTTGCCTTTTCTTTCTTCATTAGTAATGTATATTTCTGTAAGACGGATAAGAACACGGTTAGTCACGAATGTTTTCTGAATGAGCCATTCAATGATGCCAAGGCATAGATTATCAATTTATGGTAAATGTGGAGTCTAAAATGGTCAAACTGCGGCTTCTGTGCAGTGAGGGTCAACTCTGGCAAATCTGGAATTAACCTGAGCTGTTTGCTCAAGCTCTTGCATGACACTGATCCATGGTCAAGGTAGGAAAAGTATTGATTAATAGTATTGCTTTTTTTGTGACCATGGGCCCAAGGGGCTTAGGGGCAGATTGTCCCAGGTCATCAGTGCTGTTCATTGTTCACAGTGAGATTGATGATTTACATCTGGTCTGGGTAGACCCTGGGAGGGCTCTGCTGTGAAGTCTGATTGTGTAGCAAGAATATATCTAAGTGACCAGTAAAATATAAAACAACCTCAGCTAAAACTCTTTTTTTGGGCTTACCGCTTCTGAGCTGTTCTGTGCACATATCAGTGGTTCCTGATCTGAAAGAGAAAGTGCATCTGGGTGTGGTCCCTACAGAGGGAGGACAAAGGAGCCCACATCTGACTTCTCAGACTCCTGTAAGTGCAGCATATGATACATTATTAAACTGTGTTGCTATGTTGTGTCTTTTTCCTGAAATGGGTTGTAGATTTATAAGCATCACAAGTGTCATTTTGGGTCCTCTCAGACTTCTTTAGAAACTAAACTCTGTTTAACAACTATGGTTAGTACAATGTCCAAACAGCATACCTGGCAGCAGGAAATTAATGTGAAACCATCCATCACCATAGGCCAGCACTTTCTGGACTCTCACAGCTTCTTTACATTAAAAGTTCTTAATGCTAGTTCTGAAGTTATTACTTGCTAAAGTAATAGCTAACTGCAGTTGTGTGCTGGTGGAATTCTGACCACACCGTCTGATAGAATTCTGACCACACCATTGAGAGAGTAATGGACACATCAAATCTGGGTGCTTCACCCATGCAGGGCTTATTTAACAGGAGAATATATTTATAATAACTGTTAACGGATATTTCCATGATTGCGTTGTGTTATTGTTGTGGATGACGTGTTTTTAAAGTAAACTAATAAAACCAGTAACAGTCTCAAAATGCAGCAAGTGATTAATATAATCATTCATCAATATAAGCTTTACATTTTATCAATTAAAAATAATAATGCAGTAAGAGTTGTGTGACTCATTATTGTTGAAAATATATCAAGCTTTAAGAACAAATGACTCAGGAGAAAGGAAAAGGGCTGTTGTCCAGGCAGGGGATGGCTGGGATTACTCTGGCAGAAGCTGTTATGGTTACTGCCTATGAAAAAGATGGCTTTGTGAGTTACCACCTGAGCTTGTCTTGATGTGTGTTCCTGCTCCAGGAACTTTTAATCCTCCTGATGAACATGTTCCTTGTTGAGGAGCCAACTCTTTTTCACACACTTCCTCTACTACCCCCCAACCCCCAGCCCAGGTCCTCACAAGAAAAAGTAGAAGTTATTTATTGATTTATTTAAAGCAGTGGTGCTAAATTAATTGAACACATTGTATTGAAACAAAAAAGAAATGGAAGAATAGGTGGCTATGTTACAAAAGCAGAGAACTTAGTAATAAATGAATGCGGAATTAAACTTTTTTTGCTCTCATATAAGATATCTGCTTTTACTAATAGTTAAATAAAACATTTTTTGTATGTGATTTGATAAAGACAGCTATATTTCTTTCATTCTGGGAAATGTTACTCTCCACCCCCTTGAAGGAGCCAGATAAGTATCAGAAAGTGGCATTTGGTAGGCTAGATGATGTTTTTCTTGGAATGAGAATTCTTCTTTTTTTTTTTTTTTTTTGTCCTTTTTGAGACCGGCCGCACCGCGCTCAGCCAGTGAGGCTGTGAGCGCACCAGTCATCCCTATATAGGATCCGAACCCGCAGCAGGAGTGCTACTGCGCCCCCAGCACCACACTCTCCCGAGTGCGCCACGGGCTCGGCTCGAGAATTATTCTTAAATGCCAAGATCAGCTTGGGCAATGACAGTTTCTAATGGCCATCCCTATATAGGATCCGAACCCGCGGCAGGAGTGCTACTGTGCCCCCAGCGCCACACTCTCCCGAGTGCGCCATGGGCTCGGCTCGAGAATTATTCTTAAATGCCAAGATCAGCTTGGGCAATGACAGTTTCTAANTGTCTGCAAATTACTTTGAAATGCATCAAAAATAAGATGGATTGATGAATAGAGAAAGAGAGGGATAAATGGATAGGTAAGCAGTAAAGCAATTTTTTTTTTTTGTCCTTTTTTGAGACCGGCCGCACCGCGCTCAGCCAGTGAGGCTGTGAGCGCACCAGTCATCCCTATATAGGATCCGAACCCGCAGCAGGAGTGCTACTGCGCCCCCAGCACCACACTCTCCCGAGTGCGCCACGGGCTCGGCTCGAGAATTATTCTTAAATGCCAAGATCAGCTTGGGCAATGACAGTTTCTAATGTTCTATGTTTAATTTCTTTCTTTGCCAAACCCATTTCCATTGATTTCCTTACCTTCTTTTTCACCTTTAAGAAGCCTTCCGTTGAGAAACCAGGTGAGATTTGCTTTGGGAAATACATTCTTTAGTGAGCAGGTAAATGTTCTCTGGGGTAAAGACAGAAAGAGGATTATTTGCAAATTCAGGTGAAACTGTTTCTTCCTTATATCTCCACCAACATTCACATGAGACAAATTGGCAAGAAAGAATTTTCTCCTCTTTTAAAAGGTTAACTACAAGGCAGTGTCTACCTTAAGACATGTTGTATTAAAATGTGGACTATAATTATGCTGTTTTCTATAGAGATGTTATAAATTTATGGCTAGAATCCTAGGTCAACTTAAAAATCTAGGACTATACTAATGTTGCAAGACTGGATTCTGGGTTCTGAAAAAGGGAAATCAAAATTCTGTGTAGGCAAAATAAAATCATACTAAACAGAAACCAAAGGATAGAAGGAAGGAGCTATAACAGGCAGAGGACAGAGAAGAATATTCCATTAGATTAAAAGCTGAAAGAGATCCATACATTGTTTCTGTTCCTCATATAGTGATAAATACTATTCGTAGCAACAACCACAGAAACCATTTAATATAAGTACCCCACTTTTGACTTCTAAAGAGTTTTCCTAATTATTTTTTCATCTTATTGTCTTAATCCTATAGAGTAGGTAGGACATGCCTTATTATTGCCATTTGACAGATGGGAAAATCAAAGCACTGAGTGGTTAAAGGGAGTGAAAAGTGGTTAATCACACCATTAGAAGTGATGTCTCCTCAATTCCAGTCCAAGATATTTCCTGGTAAGATACATTGTACTGAAAAAAGAAGGAAATGGAAGAACAGGTAGCTATGTAGCAAAAGCAGCAAACTTAGACTCAGCGTTAGTTATATTTTATTTTCAACACTGTGTTTGTTCTTTGGGGGATAATACTTTCTTTAACAGCCCAGTGAAAATATCCAATAGGACTTACTAGATCCCTATTATTTCATCTGAGACCCTGCAAAATTATAATACCTTTTATAATTACTTGTTTTCTCATCAAGAGATGCATATATTTTGCATATGATCAGTCCTGGTTCTTAGTTGTCAGATATTTCCCACTACTGATGTATATACTAGTTAACTAGTAAAGAAAAATTAACTGAATATAATGGTTGGTGTGGTAATCCACAGACTAGTTACTCCTAAAGCGTTTGAAACTATGAGCTCTGAAACCAAACTCAAGGATACTAGTTAACATTTTTTTTCTGGTGAGATCCTACAAGGTGTGGCTAACCATCCCTCAGTGTATCACTATTAGGTTCTGGGAGGACCTCTTAAGATGGCACCACCCAAAGATACTCAAAATGGCAGTTCCCACCCTATGGGACTTCCCCATAAGATAAAAAGACAAAGGAACTCATAACCGCAACAGAACTCCACACCATTGGTCTCCTCCAAAGCCCTATTTTACATACTAAGGGAACCAATAATTGCAAACCTAAAAATCACCTAATTAACATGAGGTCTCAACAACTCCCATTGGATATTTCGTTTAACTCATTAACATAAGCTATGGCCAACCAGAACAACACAACTCACCCCAAGAAGTATAAGCCCAACCCCCAGGGTGGGGGATAGGTTATGCTAGGTTCTGTCCCTATGCCTCTGCCCCACCAGCTGTGCCAATAAACTCCTTCTAGCCTGATTTCTCCTTTCACTACCAATTCTTTCCAAAATTTTCAATCACTACAAAAAATCCTGAGGACATAGGGAAACTTTCAGAGTGAGTAACCTATCACATCCAAGATAGGTGGCAAACACTTAGCTCCCAGAATTTCCACTCATTCAACATTAGCTTTTTTCAGATAATAGGGATATGAGTATGTGGCAGGGATATAGACCCATGAAATTATGTCATTTTTTCCCTTAGAAAATAAAAAGTAAAACCAGGTTTCCTAAAATATATTCTTATTAAGCAGAGGAAAGAGAATTCAGTTCATTTAATCCAATAAGATGACAAATATTGATTTTTGTCTCCATTTGGCCCAGGAAGGGATATAGAGGCATAGGAAATAATATGTTAAAAAAACAAAGTTGTAAAGTTTTGTATTAAATCCAATGCCTTTAACTGTCTTGTGATTCATTTCCTACATCTTCAATTAGCCCACCAAAAGACAATGATATGCTAATATCAGGAATAAGTGGGGGAGATGTGACCAAGATGGTGGAATAGACAGTCCCCAGCATTACTCTCTCCCACAACCAATAAATTTACAACTGTTTAAAAAGCAAAGACTGCCAAACCTAGGACCACTAGACCTCGGGGGAAGAGGAGGAGAGACCCACAGAGTTTGTGAAGGCGGGAAAAGCCAAGGTGAGAGAAAGAAGGGACCAGTCTGATTGTTTCAAGCCCTGGCCACTTCAGGGCCAACCCCACAGAAGCTGGCAAAAGCTGCAGCTGTGCCCTTTGTAGGAAATTGCTTGGAGTCTGCAGGGGAGAAGAGGGCCTTGGTGAGCACCACACCAGCTTCCAGGCCAGTGAGACCACTGACAGGGTTCCCATGGGCCCATACAGGAGTGAGGGGATATAGCCAACTGAAAACAGAAGCCACCCAGAGGCTGGTGAGTCATCACTAGGGTCCAGCTCATGGTCCACCGCACAGGAGGTTTTTGGAAGGCAGTGGGAGGCTGGCCCACTGGGGACACTGCGGTGCAGCGTGGGAAGCTGATCTGCCATCCGGTCGGCACAGGTCCACTCAGTGGAGGCTGGTCAGAGCAACAGAACTGCAGGGGGTGCAATTTGCTGTAAAGACTCAGTCCTGGGCCAGAACTTCCACACAGCCCAGGTGTATCTGACCACACAAAACCCAGAATTGATTAAAAGTTATAAGTGGATTAAATGGAATAAGTGAGCGATAGCCCAAAGAATTGTGTAGTAAGTTACAAAAAGTATTTGGAAAGTTCTGTAGAAGTACGAAGAAGAGTGAAATCTGGCGATAACTTAGTGAACATAGTCAAATTTTGTGGACTGGGAAGAGACAGAGCGGAACTCTGCAGGTGGTCTATGTTGAAAAGTAGTGGGGAGTTCATGAAGACAGATGGGTGAAATGCGCTCCTTAGCAGAGCACCGAGAGGCCCAGATGTGAGCCGGGGATGTTGCCCTGGAAGGGGGCTGGGTGGGGGGGAGGCCAGCGAACAATCGGAAGATTTTGAAATTGATAAATCAGAAAAGATAAACCCAAATCTGACTGTTAAGACTGATCATTTCCTTATTTCCATGGATAAAATATTGAAATGGTGATCATCTGTAAGTTAACCCACATTCACTTTGCCTAAGTTTGGACAGCGTCTTTTCATTAGAATCATTTTAAAAACATTTAGCTTTTTAGTTTAGGAAGAAAAATCTTTAAAAAACAAAGTTTTCCTATTTGTTTACCAGCTCATCATTTCTATTTGGAATTTTTCTTTCCCCTTCCCCCCCTCCCCCCCAGTTTGAAATTTAACTTTCAGTGTCTACATGTTTATCTTTTCTTCTATAATGAAAACTTTTTTCTTCCATGGACATCTTTTAAAAAAAGTTTCTGTCTCCTCTTGGTAAGTTTTTCTTTTCAAATTTAAATACATGTATATTATGCATATGCATATTTAAATGCATAATACATATGTGTGTGTATATATATATATATATATTTGCTTAAGTTGTCATTTTTTCCCTTTATTTCCGAGAGTAGA